TATTAGTAATGTGGAGAATAATGATACCTATCCGCACTTGTATGAGCATGCTGGAATTATTACTGAAATTCTAACCTACTTCCTATTCTATTTTGGGATTTCAAAAATGCTTGCATCTGCCACACAGGGTCCTTTCAGCATGACAACACCACTAGCTCTGATCTTCCAGTGTGAACTTCCTTGTTCCTTTTCACTGTATAACTGTTAAAGCAGACTCATACTCAGCCACTTTTCCTTGTAAAAACAGACACCAAAACCGAAAAAGCACCAGCATTCAGCACATCTGTCCCTTACAGAGCAGCCAGCTGTACTGTCAAGACTGTACTGGACTACTCAAGGATTTTGTAAGAGAGGATTCTGTTTCATGGGCTTTGCCTTCCCATCATTGCAGCACAACAGTGAAATCATCTGAATAACTGATCAACTGGAATGCTTTCACATATATGTTTTTAAGAAAATCCAGCAGTTGAGTAATTCAGAACTGCTGCATTCTTTAAATCCACTTTAAAATGCAAAGAGGTGGAGAGATTATATCACAGGTTGAATCATAAAACAGGACAGAGTTCAATTTTAGATTTTCAAATAGGACTGTAACTGAATTCAAATGCATACTGTTTGTAAAATAGTGCACATTGAACTCCTAGGAAAGAGACAGGAGATAATAGATCTGCCTGTCATTATCACCATGGCGGTGGAGGGGGAAGGCAAAGCCAACACAAATCTGAGCTGATTAATGTAGCTGAAACTACATTACAAGATTAAAAAAAAAATACTAATAAAACTTTTATTAACCAGAAGGCAATATAAAAAAAACCCTAGACTTAAAACCAAGCTGGACAACCTTCAAGTGAAAACATACGTTTTTTAACTATAAAACAAATAGCACATACTGAGATCATCAAGTACATTTTAAAACTGATACTAAGCTATTGACCAAAATACTGGTCAGCAGCACAGCAAAAGTTGCAAAAAGAAATGATAGATCAAGGAGCACCAAGAGAAACTCCTAGTTTCTAGGAGAAGGTCTCAAGTTGCTAAACTATGTCTAGGTTCACTGACTTATTTAGAGCCAAACAAATGGAAATAGAACAGATGAATTAGAGGAATGTTCTTTGGAAAACAGCTGCTGTCTTTTTGTGTATAAAACTAACATTTATAAAACTGGGACTTATCTTGTCAAGATGAGCTATGCAAGGGACAGATATCAAATATATACATGCAGCTTAAGTGTACATTCACCTTACCATTTTCAGATCTGGCAATTTTCTTCCTACTCTTTAAGATACATTTTAGCATAAAAGTGTATCTATAAAACAGATAGATGCAAAAGCATTTTTCAAAAGCAGCAAAAATGAAAAGGTTATATAAATGTAAAAATTCCATTGCTATCCTATATAATGAGATGAGGTGTTTAATTTCTTTTGTTGATCACACTATATAAAAGTAGCTTTCTTAAACAAGTAGAAACTTCACAAAGCAACAACGACCACATTTATGTTGGAAAGATGACAACTCATCCAAAACAAAGGAATGTGGTCTATAGTGAAACAACTGTATAAAGATTATCAATTTTGACTGACAACTGTTTCATTTTTTTGAGTCGATGTTGAAATTAAAAGTACATCTAAAGTGCAGAAGTGTAGTAGCTGATAAAGCAATACAGGTTGAAACAGCATACTAAAATAATGCTGAAAATTATTTGAACTGTGTGCTTTAAGTGTTTACAATCGAATCCAAATACCCTTTTCATTTCTCAAGTTAACTGAAAACAGGATTTATTCATAAAGTGAAAAAGAAAATCTCAGGACTTCTGGAACTATTACATTATTTGAAAGTAGCTGTGAAAACTATTGCTAATATTTTTTTATATTCTATAAACACCATAATTTGGGTGGGCAGCTAGTCAACACCTGCAAACCAGAAGGAACGGTACTACGTTTATGATACAAGTTGCTTTTTTTCATGTGTTGCCTTCATAGTTTTTACTATTTCATTCACGTTTAGAAGCAGTTCTGATTGGAATGTCCAAAAACATTTAGTCTAGCAACTGTTTGTAAGACCACTGTAAGTACTAACTAAAAAACATTTTTCCCCAATATGATCTGCTTCCCCACTACTACCACTCATCTCACTTCCCAAAATTGGTTTAACCACCTGTGACATATTGTTTAAACACTACTTTATGAGTTCTGAGGCAGGGACTGTGTTGGTTATTTCTTCATGGAGCACTGCGTGCAATGGGGCGCTAATACCCTGTTCAGAAGCCTTTTGGCAATACAAGAGAAGAATAGCAACATCAGGAATAATTAGATCATGATATTTTAAGAGTCATTCTTTCATCCTTGCTACCAGTCTGAAGCTCTATGATAAAATTTAAACTTCTAATTTGGTGAAAAATTGGAAAAAGGCTCACATAACTATTACTGTATCATGCTTATAAAGCACATAAATGAACAAAATGAAGTAAAAATCCTTAGGAAGTTCCTGCCTTACTTGACTTGTTTGCCTCATCTTAATCTAGCGACACAAAAACTGTTTTAATTGGGTCAGACTCAGGGTCCATCTAGACTAGCCTGACACTCTGAGAGCAGGTGGTGTCAGATACTTCAGAGAAAATGAAATGCAAGAACCCCCATGTTTGGACAATTACAAAATATAGTTTTCCTTGTACAAAACAGTTTGGGATGTGCAAATGGACTGAAATATCCCTTATACATTTCCTCCTATATAGAAGTTTAATCTATTCTGAAGTTTTATAAAGGTACCATGATGCTATCAGGGATTGATGAGCTCCATAGCTGAATCATGTATCACACTATATTGAAAAGCACACTGACCTGGAAGTTAAGAAATGCAACTCACTTGTCACTGACCTGATGTAATCATATTTAGGAAGTTACTTCCCCACTTTGAATGTTAGTTTCCCCTCCTACCCTTGACTGTCATTTCTTTTTAAATTTTAACACCTTGAGGGCCAGGACTACAACTCAGATCCTCAAGGATACTTAATTCCCATGAAGGTCATGCACCCAAATACTTATGTGCATCTGGGCCTATCAGTTGATAAGGTCCAAAACAATAGAGCTTCTTGGTATCATTGTAACAGTAAGCACTAAAAAAGTGCATAAAGATATACAGTGAGTGTGTTCCAGGTGGAACGGACAGCACAAATAACACAATTACCCACAACTACAGTGGTAGAGATAAAGGCAAGGAAGATGCACAAATCAAAGACTGGAGTAAGTTTGTTTTAGGTCATAAAGTGGCAGGGATTTTTTGTGATATCTTTTATTAGGCCAGCTGTATAGTTGGGACAGCTGCTGGACAGGCTTTCAAGAATCAACTGCCTTTTCCTCAGGTCATAAACTGGATAAAAAAAGTCCATGCAGAACTTAGAATATCTGGAAGAGTTTACAGAATGAGGCGCATCAGGGTGCTGGTTTCTAGTGAACATTTAGCCATATAATCTGGATCAGCACCACAAAAGTCTACAGAGATGCATTTCTGAGGAGTGTTGAAGATTAATGAATGCCTTCTTTAGCTCTGGAGTGTTACATTCAAAATGACTGGAAAATTATTTTATTTATTTGGATCTGTATCATTTGTATTATAAAAAGGTGGGAAAGAAATTAGTTGCAGCAAGGAGCTGCAAGGGGGTTTTCTCATTTTAATATAGGATAGACTGAACAAATTTTTCATGTTTATATTAGGTGGTATCTAGGGCCTCATGTACAAAGAGTCATTCAGGAAAGTTAAGATTAATGAACTATGGCCATTATGTGAATGTGCATATGTTCAAACATATTAAACTGTGGCATTATTAGCTTCAACAAAACAAATAGCTTACTCCAGCTGTCCACAGAGATAATTCAAAAACTTCCTCCCATACTCATTTTTAGCTCCAAGCATGTTAAAGCTAACAGACTACTCTGGGTGGCTGGCATGTTTTCTTCAGGCATCTGTACATGTGCTGTAGGGTGTGGGCATTTTAATTAGACCAGCTCTCGGGAGCCGTTCTAATTAAAATGCCTACAGCATCTTGTGTATTCAGTGTCCGCACGTTTCAAAATGACAGCAGGGATGCTTTGAACGAGCTTTAGTTAAAGCATCCCCACCACCATTATGAAATGCGGGGATCTAGGGCTTCATCTACAAAGAGTCATTCAGGAACGTTAAGATTAATGAACTTGGTAGATGAGGCCCAAGATGCCAAGGCTGCTGAAGCAGTCTAATTAAACCACTTGAGCAGACTGAACGCATCAGAGCAGGTATCAGGTATGTGTACAGGTGCCCTTAGGCTCTCTCATAAATCAAGATTATTTTTTCACTAACTTCTGAATGTGACAAAGAACATAGATGCCTGTTTTCAAAGTTCCAACCTCAAGATTCACTTCTGTGGAGTCATTATCTGGGCCTATCTATATTCCATCACTTTTTCTCAAAACAATTAAACCATAATAACTATATGCCCTCTTTTGCTGAGCAAAAGTAACCTAATAAATTCAAAGATCATATGCATTTATAACGAAAAAAAATCATAAAATAAATGGGGTACACAAATTGGCAAAAGAAATTAGAAGAAATACTTTTAGAACCCCAGAAGTCACAGCTATCTAATCCCGATCTCTGCATTTCATTAGTCTCACTAACTGAGTAGGAATCCATGCCACAGACCAAAAGATGTTGGGAACAAGGCAGAGAAGAACACGGAGGTTTTGGTAACACGGTATCTTCTGCATGGAGAGGCTTCTTTTCAGGACTCGCGTGCTGTGCAATCTAATTTGTTTTTTTGCTGGCTTGGTTCCTTATCAAATATTATAAGAACCAACCACTTAGACAGCAAAAACAAACTTTGCCCAATTGTCCATCAAAAACCAAAGTTAATATTAACTGGTTTAGTATAATTAACCTTATGAAGTCAGCTTAAATTTCCCAAACACAATAGCATGTAGGAAGACTAAAGACAAACACATGAAGAAGTAAGTTCATATAAGCCTTACCGTCATGAATTTCAAAAGCCAAACTAGTGATCTTCTGTGTAATTATCATCATTGGGCTGTTACATGGGGAAAAAAGAAAGACATATTAGAAAAGAAGACCCATACCATAGCTTCATGTTAAAGAAAAAGAAAAAGATTAATTAGTGATCCCGAATAGCTGTCAACAAACTAGAAGACTGTCAACAGCAGAGGTAAGAAATGTCTAACTGTTAGAGCTCAGATGCACAGAAATACATAAATCTAAGTCTTAGATTTATACTCTAAGGAAGACGTGTCTTAGATGAGGCACCTGCAGAGTCAGGATATAACCATCTCCTGGAAGGGATTAAATAGCTTGGTAAAGTTATGCATATATTTGTTGAATTGGTTCATACACATATGAACAAGTAGCAGAATTTTTTCTACAAATGTACCTGAAGATCATTTAAATTTCTTTGCTTTTCTTTTTTTCTCTCTTTTCTTGAGTGGGAAAAGGAAGAGGAAAAGGGCACCAAAAAACATTTCTCCATGTTATAACTACTGGGAGCAATATGCACAGGACAATAGATATAACAGCAGTGAATATACAGCTGATTCTGCTTAAATAAACACCCTTAAAAATATGCCTCAAAACTTAGTTTGCTACATTCACTCTAAAGACATTTAATAAAATATAATGGAATTGCCTTTGAAAACAAAATTATAAATGACTAAATAAAAGCACTAAAGAAAATACCAAAAAATGAAGCAGAATGTAATTACTTTTTGTCATATACAGAAGTCTTGGTACATCTAGTTTCTCCTGTTAATACATTTAACTGACTTCTGTTTTAAATTATTTACGTCTATACTGGACGGTAAGCATTCCAAGATGGAATATTTAATATATCATCCTTGTTTGTACCAATTTCCAAACATTTAGAATTTTCATCCAACTAACAGGAGAGTATTCTGTACAGTAGGGTCTCATACCAATTAATTATTGCAGAAATATTGGTGGGCTGACTGCCATTAACTAGGGGTGCATTGATAAAGATTTTTTTGGCTGATACCAATGGCCTTACCACACACAAATGGTGTCTGGGTAAGGCAGACAGGACAAAGGCAGACAAGACCGTGTCCACTCAGGGCTATTTAGAGCTAATCAACAGGTAGCTGGTAATGTCCCTCCTTGGAATGTTTCCCTTCCTTGGAAAAAGCTGTTTAAGAAGAGCTTGAACTAATGAGAGAGGCTTTGTTTTCTGATGGGGTACTAAATGCTGATAACAGAGCTGATAAATGCTCTGTTATCAAGGGGGGAAGGAACCCTTCCCTAATCAAAGCATCCTGCTGGAGCCTGACCACAACCCCCTCAGCTCAGCAGTGTGGAAGGGGTGGGAGGGCTGCTCTAGCACCCCCTGGCTTCTAGCCTGAGCCACTGCAAGCATGTGCCTGAATTTCCTCAATCCAGAGGGGATGTCTGTAAAGTTACAAACCAGTTCAGCCTAGCCAGATTAAACTAACTTGCAAAGATTGAATCAATTCAGGCTCAGGCTTTTTGAATGTCTGTCCCTAACTTCAGAGGTAAGGCTCCATCAGATTAGGCAAAATTACAGCTCAGCATCATTTGTCTTCTACTTTTACAATGATGTAATTTTTTACACTACAGCTGGAATTTCATCTGTCCAGGGCTAAACACTGGTAACTCTACCTTGTAACAACATCACGAAAAGTGAAAATATGAATATAAAGTTTTTAAAGTTTAGTCTAAACTAAACTAGTCTAGGTCACAAGCATTAGCAGGCCTTAATCATAATTACATTCTTACTGCAGGCCATCACAAGGAACAGATTTAAGGTCACTATTGCATTGACACTAGAATACCTACATTGGTTTTAAAAATTTACATGGCTTCCTCTTCCACAGTTCTCCATGTTCCTACTTATACTCACCAATATGGGCACTGCTGGAGACTACTCCTCTGAGGTAGAGGTGTCAAACTCACACTGAGCCCCAGGCCAGACCCAGACCACGGGGCTCCATATGGCTGAAAGTGGTAGAGACAGCAGAAAATGCAGTGGCGAAGGCTGGGGTTATAGCAGAACAAGTACTGGCAGAGTACAGGTGCCTCAAATTGTCATAAACAATCTAAAGCTTACAATTTGTAATTATTAGGCTTGTGGCACAGGGCTAACAATAAGGATCACTGACTTAGTGCTGTGGCACTGCTGTAAACAACTGGCAGGGTCCTACCCAAGAGGACTGATTTATCAGGGATAAGGTTGCCCAGCAACAAGGTCAATATGATTACCTTGTGTAGACTGATGAGGAGGTCTTATTGATAGAGGGGTCCTAGAGATTCTGCTCTAGTGCTCACTTTCACCAGAGCCTGATTGGAGCAGGGAGAAGGGAGGAGGAAGAGGGTACTTTAATCTGGAGATTGTATCTTTTCCTGAGATTAGAAGCCACCACTGTGGCCTCCTCTAGCAGAAGCCGTATAAACCTTCTGCCTCTTGACCTCCAAGTGCAAGGGGAGGAAAAGGACTGGCAGACAAAGAATTTGTCAGGGTCAGGATATGTCCTTCTTCCAGGCAAGAGAGGCATTTGTTATGGGCACACAATCAGAAGTATCAGATCATCAGGCAAAAAGAAAAGTGCAAACCTTGAGGAAAGAGAATGACATTTCCAACTCGCACAATTCTGCCCCTCAACATGGGGATTTTCTTCTACCACCTCTTGCCCCACTTTTTAAGGAAAAGTACCAACTGAAATAAATATCAAAAGGGAGTTGGATTCAGTACAGGTTCAGTCTTGTTGTGGATGGTAACAGAGAATTCAAGGCAGATGAGAGCCACTCTGTACTTGATGCCTTCATCAAGGAATGCAAGGGGGCACAAGGGGCTGGCTCAGCAAGGACAGACAGGGCCATTAAAGGATTCCATATTCATGTGCGTGTAGTATACATACACCTCTCACAGTGTCCATGCTCAAAAAGGAAATGGTACACACTCAGTGTGTACAACTAAGTACACACAGTCAAATTAAACAAAAAAGAGTAAATACAGTAACATATCAATCAAGCTTTACTATATGTTGATGGGAGGAAAAACTGGAATATATAGTTTTCTTCTTACCCAGAAAAATCAGCAGAATATTGTCCATAATCAAAGATATAGACTCTAGTAATTTGGCACACAGTGAGGTATCCCAAAGCAAAAACAAAGCAATACCTGAAAAGGAAAAATAAACACTTATGTTAGATTTAATCATTCAAAAGGGAAAGCAGCAACCAATGAAAGCTTATTCCTTCAGCATTCCAGATTATTAGCAGTTTGTGTTTGGATTAAAACAGTGACACTCAATTAATCTGCCCCTGCAAACTCAATCCAGTATGTGTGCCCAATCCACAGCAATTGGTGCTACCCTGGCTCCTCTGCTGCAAAATGTCCAGACCTGTGAGAAGCGCTGCAAGCCACATGACATGGCTCCACAGGCCACATCTTAATTGTCCCTGAACTAAAACACATCAACATGTCATTCTTTATGTCTGAACTATTAGGTATGGTCACTTATTTTTTCATTAGGTTTTAGATGAGCATTACCCAATTTCAAGTTTTAATATGACCAGTTTATACATATCAATCCAGGGTATATTTAAAAATTATTGACTGTGATAGGATAGGAATATTCTATGATTCATTTTCAATATCCTATGATTCATTTTCTATAAGAGCGCAAAAGAAAAAAATATCCAGCGTAGCAGTTTATAGTGCGTTGCGTGTGTTGGCTAGTGCTGGGGCCAAGTGTCGGCAGGAGGGCAGTGTAGGCTGCCCTGGGTGGGAGCAGGCAGGGCTCAGCCCTGTGAGAAGCACTGTGGGGGCATGCACAGGATGGATGGAGGGGAGAAAAAGGGGGAGGGAGAGGGACAGAATGCACCTGCACCACAGGGCCTGGGTGAGCTGTGCTGCACGTGCCCCCTGCCCCTCCCTTTCTCCCAGGACCTAGTGTGCAGACAAGCTGCCCCCTGCCACACACACACTCACACACCCCTACAACACCTCCCCACACACCCCACCTCCACACCTTACACAATATACAACGATAAGACTTTATTTGGAGCTATTATGCAATTGCCTCTTTTTTTTTTTAGTAGTGTATATAAAGTCAAAAAATCTGTTTTAGAAACAAAATTTAAATATACTAAAAATAAAACATCTACTATAACAGTTTTTGTTTTTATCTATAATTTGCTAAAATTATATCTTCTGAAAGATTGCGTGTGCAGCCTTCAACAGCTCACCAAAGCTCATTAAGTGGCCATCCAGCCAAAATAACTGCCTAACCCCGATATATATAAAATAAAAGATGTGTATATAACTAAGTAATTATATGTGTGTGTGTATGCACACACACACACACACACACACCCCCCACTTATTTTATCCATGTATATGTAAATGTACATGAACATGTAAATGTGCATGTATACAAGATCATATGTATATATATGCAGGTGTGCATGGATGCATGTGTACACCTCCCCCCCCCCAGCACATATCAGTTTACATGTAAGCTTTTGGAAAGATCCATCCATTAGCATGATTTGGCACTATATAAATATAGTTCTGTTAATATAGATTCCAAAGTGTGCTAGATAAGTACCTTCACTTTACATGTGAATTACTGCCAAGGAATTAGCCTTAAATCATGTTCTTTCACTTTTGTCTGCAATTTATCATCACAAATAGTTCCACAGATTTCAAAAGGGACTATTTGTAGTAATAAAATTAGGGATGTGTTAGACACTTGCAACATACATCAACAATGTAAGTGAGGATGAAGGAACTAGACGACCAATGAGACAGTGACAGGTACTTAAAAAAAGCCCCTTGTTGGTGTTCAGGAGAAAAACTAAAGAAAACAGCATTATAAATAAAATCTTAGCTAAAAAGCAAATTATATCTCTGAAACTGTAGGATTCAAAAGAACATTTTTAAATATAACAAGATCTTAAATTGACACAATCCCTTTACATTTTTATTTATATACATTATGCAATGCTAAATTATTTATTTCAGCTAAATAATTCAACATTTTTAGATTTATAGTGCATCTGATCTGATTTAGAAATAACTTATGAATTTTCTGGATTATTCTAGTGAAGCTGAAACCAGCATGAATTAGGAGATAAAGATAAACGGTATGAAAGTATTTATTATAAAAAAAGACTGTCTGGAGATCTGACACAAAACAGTTAGGTACCAGTATGTAGTTTGTTGCTATGTGCACCTTGATTTCTCTCAGATTAGTCCTTTCTTTCATTAAAATTTCATGTTATTCAGTCTGAATGGCCTATACATTTACATTTTACACAACTAAATGAAGGTTTACAGGTGAAGATGTTTAGAAAATTATACATCAAAATAGAAACTAGAGAAGATAATTAAGCTATCATATTTTTCTTTCATGAAGCATAAGCTAAAAACGTTTTTAGCTTGCAAATGAAACAAACTACGTATTACAGAAGTGAATCCATTGTTAGCCAGCCTGTCTTAAGTAAATTACAGGTATGCTGAAAAAAATATAACAACAAACATAGCGGTACCACAACTTTCATAATTCAGACTAGTACCATATGAAACGTCTGTTAGATGGGGAAAGAATCATATTTGTATATATCTGTGGTTTAGGCAGTTGAATTGAGAGGGAAGGAAAGCAGTGCCACTTTCTATTTTACACAGTAATAATTGCAATGATAAATTCATAGCTATATTTAAAAGACCAATTATAAAGACCTACTGTTACACCAGGGAAATTTATATTATATAAAACCTACATTGAAAGAACACTGTGATCACAAGGTCAACTAAAAAGTTAGGAAACCTAACCTATATCCAACCCCCTTGTATGCAAGCACTATATTATTCACCTTAAATTACAAGATCACACAGCGCTGCCTCTACAGGACATGTCTCATTCAAGCAATGGATAATTATTCAAGATTTTTTTTTTTAATCTCTACATTCAATATTTGGCCTCAGGGCTTATATAACGCACGTCTTTCAACTGTACACTGAAGACCGTTAACTATGTTCTCTTGGACATTTCTACATTGTATTCACCAAAGTAACAGTGAGCACAAACAACGAGTCTCATGATCATATAATGGTAGGAAAAATACGCTATAAGAAAAGCCACCAGCTCCTCCTATAGCAGGAGCAGGCAATTATTTTGACTGAAGGGCGACTTAATGAGTTTTGGCAAGCTGACAAGGGCCACAAAGGTAGTCCTACCCTTGACAGGTGCCCCACCCACTGGCCATCTTGGGACCAGAAGTCCCATCTCCTAACCTCTGACCTTTGCCACTGGAAGACCCTCCCTTTGCCCCCAGAAGTATTCCTTTTGGGAGGGGGGTATGCCATCTTGAAACAGTATATAATTTGTTTTTTTCCCAAAAATCAAACATTGACAATAGCATATTTTAAGTTTATTAAAAAAATATTTTTGTCCTGATTTTTGTGTGTTTTGTTGTGTATATAGAAGTGATTGCATAATAGCTTAAAATGAAGACTTACTCTTGTATATTGGGGGAAAGGGTGGGTGGGTGGGTATGGGGTTTGTGGGGGGGACGTAGGTATGTGTGTGGATGTGGGTGGGTGGGTAGGTGTTTGTGGGGATATGCGAGTATGGGGTTTGTGGTGGGCTATGGGGTGTGGGTGCATGTGTATGTGGTAGGGTGAGTGAGTGTAGCAGTGCATGGGGCTCCCCCCAGAGATGCACGGATGTGTGTGTGGGGGAGGGTGCGGGTAGGCGAGGTGTTTGTGGGGTGCGCGGATTGTGTGAGGGAGGGTATGGTTATGGTGGGGTGTGCATGGAAGACCCTCGCATGTACCTGAGCCATTCAGCCCCCACCCCACAACAGCCTGGAGCCCATGTTACCTGCGGTGTCTCACCACCACCAACAGTGCACAGCCCCAGCACGTCCCATGCCCGCTCTGGACTCACCCCTATCAGAGCAGATCAGCGGGAACTGGGGCACAGCCCAGACCCAGCCCACTCTGCACTGCCCTCCAGTGGTGCATCCTGCTGCCTGCTTGGCATGCAGCGGGGCTGGGGTGGCTATGAAGCTAGACTGCCTTTCTAGGTATCGCAGGTGGCAGTGACTCCTTCTGGCTGCCACCACCACTGGCCCCAGCTCCAGCCCCATGATACCAGCAGGCATCCGTGCCACAGCCCCAAACCCATGCGCCCCACTCCTGCTCTGGGCTTTCCTGCCCAGGCTCAGCAGCAGCAACAAGGGGCAGAAGTTGCTGCTCAGCAAGGTGTAAGAGTAGCCCCTCTCCCTTGCCACTGCCAGTGCTTCCTGGTGTAACCACCCAGAGCCCACGTGGGGCTGCCCTGTGTCTACACTGTGTCACCGCTACCTCTGGGCCGCCCAGCAGGGCAGTGGTGACAGCACAAAGCAGAAGCAGGATAGCCCAGTACAGCACAGGCTGTGGGCAGCTACACCAGGAAGTGCCAGCAGTGGCAAGGGATTGGGACCACTTTTACTCCACACTAAGCAGCAGCTTCTGTTCTGCACTACTGCTGTTGAGCCTAGGCGGCTGAGCCCAGAGTAGGCATGGGGTGCATGGGGCCAGGGCTATGCAGCGCAGGCCCCCACTGGTACTGTGGGGACAGGACCAGTGGCGGCGGCAGCCGG